CAAGAATCTCGTGACTTTGCAAGGATATTGCCAAAACAAGAAATGCCTAGCACTCGTTTATGATTTCATGCCCAGAGGAAATCTTCAACAGCTTTTAAGAGGTGGTTTTCCCCTTTAACTTTTATTAGTGTTCCTATCAAGCATAGCTGACTTAGACTTGCAGTTAATTATTATCACTAATTTGACATGATCTAGTCTTCATATAAAAATATAAACTATAAAACCAAGCTAATCTGGCTTTGACATTGTACGGCAATCAGGATTTTCATGTTAAACCGAATTCCATGTTAAAGGTGTAGTTGATTGACTAAAGTGTTACTGCTGCTATTCAATATAGTTGAGTTCGTAGACCAAATTTACTCCGTATACATACTGTACTAACAATTGCGGCCACCATAGCTGCATTCATAGAGCTGCATATTGTTAATGTCATAGTCATGGCATGATCATAAATATCAGGTAAACAATTGGGGCTGCCACATTTACATTCTTAGTCATAGGTCCTAAACATAGCATGATAGCCACAAATTGTAAACAAGTACATCTTTCAAAGCCAGCAACAAACCAGAAACTAGAGAGGTATGTATTCAAAGAATATGTCAATAACTTGGTTCGCTCGTTGATTAGATTTGTACATAAAAATGCTCCGGTAGAGAGTAGGAAAAGCAGTTATCTCTTGAAGATCAAAGTGCATGTATTAGTTAGCTTAGATATGTGCAAAAATTATAGAAATTGATATTTATGCTAGTACCATGAACAAATCAAATGGAACTCACATTAATTTGGTATGTACTGGTGCAGGAGGTGACTATAGTTTGAATTGGGAACAACGACTCCATATTGCACTTGATGCTGCACAAGGTCTGCATTTCAGTTGTGTGTTTGCCTTTAGGCCATTTATGTATGTGTGTGTTTTCTTCTTTTCTAGGTCATGTATGTGTGTGTTGGTTTGAATAAACTGCAGGACTGGAGTATCTACATGAGTTATGCACCCCGTCAATCGTGCACAGAGATGTCAAGACCCCCAACATCCTTCTGGACAAGAATCTGGTGGGAATAATATCTGATTTTGGGCTTTCGCGGGCTTTTAACGATGCTCACACGCACATATCTACTGCTGCTGCTGCTGGCACTCCTGGGTACATCGACCCCGAGTACCATGCATCTTACCAAATCACTGTCAAGACAGACGTTTACAGCTTCGGCATCGTGCTCTTGGAGATCATCACCGGACAACCCCCACTATTAATGGACCCTCAAACCGTCCACCTACCAAATTGGGTGCGTCAAAAGATAGCTATGGGAAGCATTCGTGATGTTGTAGATAAGAGACTGCTGGATCAGTATGATGCCAGTTCCCTGCAGAGTGTGGTGGACCTTGCCATGAACTGCGTGGAAAACGCAGCCATCGACAGGCCAACCATGACTGTGGTTGCCACGAGGCTCAAAGGGTTGTTGCCAGCGGTTTCAAGTGAAAAGCAGTCTGCTTCTGCGACCCCTCGACGTACCTACTCCATGGATAGTGAAATTCCAAGGCAGTTCCAGCTGATGATTTCAGGAGCAAGCAACGAGGGGAGCTCCTTCCAGTCTGGCCATACCAATGGGATGTCACAAATGAGCCTCTTATCTGGACGGTGAAAGGGGAACGCCTACTGTGTTATTGTTGCATCGGCTTAGATAATGTTTTGTAATTTGATTAACGGCATCGTCATTGATCATCCGTAGAGTGGAATTCAGTAATTGTATCATTTTCTGTTTCTAGTACTGCTCGTTTACTACCGGCAATAGTTTTCAGGCATGAAGCATCTCCTTCCATTTGAGAACTTTGTGGTCGGTTAATCGGTGCTCGTACATTAAGTCCACGCCAATCCTAGGTCAAGTGGTCTGTTTACACACTGCCGCTTAAGAATTCCGCCTTTTATTCCCCAATCTATCTCGCTAGGCCATGGATTCAAATCAAAGTACTCGTTTGTTCTACCAAATTATCCTGGCATCTCCGGAATTTGTGGACTAACACGACATTATTGTGCCATGGTATGCGAGTTGGCGCCTGAGGACCTGAGCTATGAAAGAGCAGAAATGCAATCACATGTGACATACCTAACTCTCGGCGCTGTTCCTCGATTTGTCCGCGAGGTGCAGCACCTCCGTCCCCTCCCAATCGGCCTCCGCCTCGAAACCGGATATGGACGAGAGATTGGGGGCAGCACAGCAAGCTTTTCCCCGACTGATGCCCGTGGCGCGTCCGTCCCATGGCGTAGAGTCGAAGTGGGCGGCGCCGGCGACCAGTGCCGTGCCTGACGGCGAAGGGGCTACGGCCTTGTTGCGGGTCTTCCCAATCTAGGCCGATGCCCTTTTCTACCGCCAGAGCTATTTATCGCCTACTGCGAGGCAAGAGCTCAGGCTCGCCTCTGCGCGGGGGCTACATGGCCAGCACAAAACTGTAGCTGAGAACGCGTGTTTTTTCCCCTATGTGGTTTCTTAATGATTTTTTTCACTGTTTGCAGCGGTTTTCTTTTATTTTCTCTGGTTTTCTTAAAAAAATAAATTTAATTCTTTGTTTTTGACGCCGATAACGTCCACACGTGTGGGCGTTAAGGGGTCTGTCCACATGTTTTGTGTAGTGTTTAAGAGGATCAACACACACGCATACGTGTGGTCAAAACAAGTAATGCCCACACACCTTTTTTTCCTCACGGTCCCTCTCACATGCCTACATGTGGGCAAAATAGATAACGCCCACACGCCCATACGTCAGGCCTCCTATCTCATGGTCCCGCACGTCCCGCGTGACAGTCACCAAGCGCCCGCAGTTGCCATGGTCCGGGCCCTCTTCCATGTTCGTTTAACTGCAGTTACCATGTCGGACAACTATAGCTATCATGGTTGCTCAACTGCAGTTGCCATCTCAGTTCAAGTGCCAGATGCCATTTTTGGACAAACTGCAGCCGTTGCCATGTATGGTCTGGTTTACTATAGTTGCCATGATTTGAAAATTTTAGGAGTTTCCACCTACTAACACTAGGCAGTTGCCGTGTACCCTGCAAAACACATGGCAACTGACATGTTCGGGTAAAAGAGAGAGTTGCCATCTGCTTACAAGCACACTAGAGCAGTTGCCGTGTACCCTGCAAAATACATAGCAACTGACATGTTCGGGTAAAAGAGAGAGTTGACATCTGCTTACAAGCACACTAGGACAGTTGCCGTGTACCCTGCAAAACACATGGC